TGGGAGTACTGAGGCCGCGCCCGGACCGGCCTATCGCGCATTAAACTGTCTGTCCCGCAGCTGCGCGTGGGCTTTCGGGTGCCGCTTGAGGGTCCCGCAGCTGTAGGGGGAGGAGGCCCACAGTTTCGCACAAACCAGAGCGCGCCCAGAACCTCCCAGTGCCCAAGGGCTTGCGTCCAGGAGGTGGCCTTGTGGATGGGCAGGGTGACAGGGCAGGGTGACCCAGGCCGGTGGAGGTGGGGCGGAGGGGAGGTCTTGAGGACGTGGGGAAGATGGGGGCTGGGGGTGGGTGGCGGACTGAGCCTGGGCGGGGTGAGGCCACCAACACATATCACAGATGACCTCACTGGACACCACCCCTCCCCAGCCTAGGTCCTCAACCCTCCCTAGCCCCTGGCAACCCCTTGCTCTCCCCCTGACTCTCAGAGCAAGACACGGGCACAAGCGCTGGACAAAGGTCAGAGCCAGAGGCTCCTGCCAGGGGGGCAGAGGACAGCCGGGGAGCACAGTGCGGATGGGACCGTTAAGGGGTGCAGGCCCGCCTTGGTGGGTGGCTCACCCGGCCCCCGCTCTCCCAGCAACACAGGCCGTGGCCCCACTGAAAAGGCCGGATTTGGAGTGTCACCAGGGGGGCCTTGCTCCCTGAGATGTGGTGACCACTGAGGGAGACAAACCCTGACTCGGAGCACCCCACGGGCCCCTCCCACTCCACGGAGAGGAAGGCGGGAGAGCCAGGCGGTGGCCCCAGGCCTCCCAGACACCCCCGTGGAGCAGAGCCCTCCTCAGGGGTAACTGGGTCACAGCGAACACTTTTTCCTTGGAGGCCACCCCCGTGCTGGGGGCTCCCAAGCAGTGCCATGACTCTGGAGGGAGCCCAGTGAGAGGGTGGGAAGGGGTGAGAAAACACAGCCGAGGCTGGAAGTTTCACAGACAGGGTCGTTTGTCACAGCAGAGAAGCACCTCACGGCTCCGACCCGCACTCTTCGCGGACAGTGCCTGCAGCGGGAGGCACGAGCACCCTCCCCGGATGAAAACACCAGCACCAGGAGGCGGGCCGTAGCCCAGTCTGAGGGAGGGGGCTGGGGGCTGGGGCTCAGGGCACCCCCAGGCCACAGCGCCACCGAGTGGCCCTGAAAATAGTGCACAGTGCTGGGTACAGCCCCGGCCGGGGGCACCTAGTTGTTGAGCATTCCGGCCACAGGCCACCCGATGGCCCTTCCTTGGTGTGGCGCCAGGCCACGGGCACTTGCAGGAGCTCCCTGCATGCTGTTTTGTGCTTTGGTCTCAGGGAGCACCCTCCCACCTCGGGGTCCCAGAGTGGGCAGCCGGGCAGGTGTGAACAGTGTGACAGGGGTACCGTGGGGCGCCTGGTAGCGCCACCCAGAGGGGCAGCTGGTGCTCCTGGTGGTGCGGCAGCAACAGTTACAAACTCACCCCAAGTTCAAACCCCAGAAATCCTGTTTCTCCGGCCCTTAGGGTCCAGAATGCACCGCACTGCCTCCTGGCCTCAGGGGCTGCTGCTGCGGCGGGAAGGCTGCCCAGCAGTGAGGAAGGCGAGTGCAGGGGCTGCGGCCGCGGTCAGAGGAGGAGAGAGACCAGCAGAGGACGCGAAGCTGGACCGGCCAGGTTCAGAGCCCACCTCGGTTGCTCCCAGTCAGAATCTGCTTTGTGCTTCGCGGCCTTCAAGCACTTTCATGAGTGTTCTGTTGCCACGTGGCCAGGTCACACCTTCCCTGACAGCTCTGACCAGGCCAACTCAGTTTTCCTCTAAAACCACGAAGGCCTGGGGGGCTGTTACAGAGGCTGGAAGCGTAACCAGAGCCGTGGCCAGGGCAGGCCCGCCTGGTCACAGCAGGATGAGGCTGGGGTGGCGCAGCTGCCGGTACACCTGCAGCAGCCTCTGGGCGGTGGCGCAGGAGCTGGCCTCATCCTCTGTGCAGAGCCGGTCGCGCAGGGTCTGCACCTCCCGCAGCAGCGTCTGCAGGTGGAGCAGACACAGCTCAGGCGCCCACCTGGCCCTGGGGCTGTCACTGGATGTCTCTGGGGGACCCACCACTCACAGGACCATACTTGGGAAGTGACAGGTGGTCCCAGGATGAACACTCATCTGGAACCTTAAAACATGGGACACGCAGTGGCCTGGACACCTGGCCCCTCAAGGAAGACGAGGGGCAGGAAAGGCTGTGGTCACTCGGACTCTGCCCCAGGCCCACGGGAGCCGAGCCCACGCACTGCGAGGACTCTGCAGACTCCGGGTGACTGGAGAAGGGCCTGCCGACGGGCGCTCCTGGCTACCCAGGTGGAGGGGATTGTCCAGGGCACCAGGTGCTCACCTCGTGGTTGGCATGGATCTGGCGGAGATACTGCACACGGAGATCAGGAGCGCTGGAGCCCTGGGCGGCCTGCTCTGTCACCATCGTCTGGGGGCGACACAGGGGACATGCTGGAGAGGGTGTGCCCCAGCACCTGCCCCCACACCCCTCGAAGCAGGGTGACCCTCTCCTTCTATCTGCCCAGCGCTGCCTCCCTGCCTGGCACCCCCCCACTCCCGCCTCCCTGCCTGGCACCCCCCCAGCCGCTTTGCTGTTTTCCACCCCACTGTTCACCTCGACTTCCTGCCCTCCAGAGCAGCAGGGCACAGAGCCCCTGGCCTGAGAGTTTCTTGGAAATGAACTTGTTTGGTTCTTTTCTCTCCACTAGTGGGACCTTCCTTGTCCCCAAGAGCCACACTCTATGCAGATCCAGACCTGCCTGCTGCCCCCTTCTCCCATCCTGGGCTTCAGGCCGCTCAGGAGCACAGACCAGCCAGGGAACTGCCTTAGCATCTTGTGCAGAGACCCTGGCCTGGCCATTCACTCAGTCACGCGGCACAGCCCAGTGTGGGCTGCGGCACCGGCTCCCTGGGCTTGGATCTAAACTTCCCAGATGGGCTCAGGCCTGTAATCCCAGCACTTTAGGAGGCTGAGGCAGGCAGATAACTTCAGGTCAGGAGTTCAAGACCAGCCTGACCAACACGGTGAAACCCCATCTCTACTAAAAATACAAAGAAATCAGCCGGGCACAGTGGCTCACGCCTGTAATCCCAGCACTTTGGGAGGCTGAGACGGGTGGATCACGAGGTCAGATCAAGACCATCCTGGCGAACACGGTGAAACCCCATCTCTACTAAAAAACACAAAAAACTAGCCGGGCGAGGTGGCGGGCGCCTGTAGTCCCAGCTACTCCGGAGGCTGAGGCAGGAGAATGGTGGGAACCCGGGAGGCGGAGCTTGCAGTGAGCTGAGATTGGCCACTGCACTCCAGCCTGGGCGACACAGAGCGAGACTCCGTCTCAAAAAAAAAAAAAAAAAGAAATTAGCCGGGCCTGGTGACAGGAGCCTGTAATTCCAGCTACTCGGGAGGCTGAGGGAAGAGAATCACTTGAACCTGGGAGGCAGAGGTTGCAGTGAGCCGAGCTCGCTCCACTGGACTAGCAGCCTGGGTGACAGAGCCGGAGCTCTATCTCAAACAAACAGATAAATAAATACAACTAAATTTCCAGATGAGCCTGGGCAGTGAGGTTCCTGCAGGCTCTTGGAGCGAAGCAACTGAGAAGAGATCCTGACACCCCGAGGGGCAGCACTGGCCTGCCTGGGGTCCCAGAAGTGCTGGTAGCTGCTGTGTGCTGGGTAGGGTCCTGAGAGCACTCCTGCTCATGGGGTGGGCACCTAGCTGTTGGGGGACACTAAGGTCTGCAGCCCAATACGAGATCTGTGTCCAGGAGGCAGCAGCAGTGCGTGGGCTCCTGTGGGCTGACTCAGGCCCCCCCAGATTCACACGGAAGCCCTAGTGCCAGCACTCAGAGAGTGGCTGCGTCTGGAAATGGGGTCTCTGCAGATGACCAAGATGAGATCGCGGGAGTGGGTTTGACCCCACATGACTGTGTCCTTTTAAGATGAGAAAAATCCAGACACAAACCCAGGGGCTGGAGCTCTGCTCTTGGCAGGGAACGGGACTTTCTTGGGGACCAGATGGCCCAGTGGGCAGAGCTTCCTTTGACAGGCAACACCTCAGCTCTGGAGATCCCCGTGGTGCCCCCAGCACTCAAGACAAGACCCCCAAGCCCAGGCAGCCCCCCATCATGGTGCCATGAGATCACTGGGGTCACAGTGCTGCGTGACATGCTCATCAGGGTCATGGAAGTGTCGGGTGCAGGGTCCTTGCACCAAAGGCTGGGGCTCAGGGCACCCCCAGGCCACAGCGCCACCGAGTGGCCCTGAAAATAGTGCACAGTGCTGGGTACAGCCCCGGCCGGGGGCACCTAG